GTGCACAGGTTTGAGTGGGGCTTCCATACATACGAAGTCAGATTAAGAATAAGAAGGCAGATTACTTCTGAATGTTTGACCACTTTAAACCTTATGAAAAGTGGTGGGACAATGTCAGATATAGTATCAAAAAATGAAAAAAAGTTATGAATAGTGCCAGAAATATTGTAAGATATATTGACAGAAGATGAGATGTTCAGGTTGGAAGGCACTCAAAATGCAAATGGAAAGAGCCGCCCTCTCAAGATGGAGTTGACTTGGTGACAAGAATAGAGTAAAGCTTTCAGGACCTTCATTTGCTGATGAGACACAACTCAAAATGAGGAGAATGAGCTATAAACATTCATTAATAATTAAACATGGAATGTACAAAATATGAATCTAGGAAAATTATAAGATGTTAAAAAGGACCACATAGAGATCAATATCCTAGGCATAAGTGAGCTAAAATGGACTGGTAGTGGCCATTTTGAATCTGACAGTCATGTGATTTACTAGTCCATGAATGACAAGTTGAAGAGGAATGGTGCCGAATTCATCATCAAAAAGATCATTTCAAGATATAACTTGAAGTATAATGCTGTCTGTAAAAGGATAATGATACAGCTACAAGGAAGGCAAGTTAATGCCAGTATTATTCAAATCTATGCAACAACCATTAAAATCTGAGATGATGAAATTGATGAGTCTATCAACTTCTTCAGTTTGAAATTGCTCAAACATGCAATGAAGATACATTGATAACTATTGATATGCCAAGGTTGGAAACAAATAGCAAGGATCAGTAGTTTGAAAATATGGCTTTAGTGATAGAAACAATGATGGAGATTGCTGTAAATCTTTATGGGAGCAGTAAACCTCATCTTTCTCCCAGCACAGTTTGGAGAAGAAAAAGTGACTGATAGAAAAAGTTCAGAGATTTTATTATGTGATCTGTATAATCACAACAATGTCCAATGCTGATCAAATAAAATAGCCTGATTATTTTCTAGGTTGTGCTAGATACAAAATAAATGAGACAAGGGATTACTTCTAAATGAAGAATAATGTAAGCAAGGGAAGGTTGAAAAGGACAGTCCATCACAACCTGTACTTAGAATGGGTGACTCTGATTTCAAGGTCCCCAAGTGTCTTCTCAACCCAGAGCTCTTGAAGATGACAACTGAGTGCTGTTTGCAGTTTTCAAAAGCCCTAATGGAATTGTGCATGGGCTAGTTGTTTGGAAACAATCATTCCATCATTATGTTAATGACTTAGTATGTTTCTTCCTAAGGAGCTCTGGTAGCGTAGTGGTTACGAATCGGGCTGCAAACCTTAAGGTCAGTGGTTCGAAACTACCAGCCGCTCCGCGGGAGAAAGATGAGGCTTTCTACTCCCTCGGAAACCCTGTACAGGGTCGCTATGGGTCGGATTTACACCCTCGGAAACCCTGTACAGGGTCGCTATGGGTCGGACCCGACTCGATGGCACTTAACAACAACAACATGTTTCTTCCTACCCAGAAATTGTGACTAATTGCTTTATATTTAAATAGAAATCAAACTGAGTATTATTTCAAAAACAGAATTGTGAGACATGAAGTATATATTTTAAAAGTCTTTGGGGTGGAAAAAACTGGGAAATGTAGATATGCATTTTTTATCTTAGACATTCCACTGAAATCCAACAAATTATTGTTTTTTATTCAGTTCTCAGTTATTGACTTTTACACTACATCAGACTTTACAGGTATTGTTTCACTTCCTGTTATTCCCATTTGACAGGCAAAAAGGAGTAGGTAACAAACAGCTCATGTCACATACTTAAGAAATTGCAGAACCAGAATTCAGACCCTCACCACATCCCAATGCAATATCTGAAATACTATGTTAGAGTTTATTCTTTTCACTAAAGGTTAGAACACTACTAGAGATTCTTAAAGAATCTAAGTAAAGAAAAACAGAATGCAAAGAAGACTCTTTCGTGGGGACTGAGCAAATGAGGAAGAGGAAAGAACTGAAAAATGGGAGATATTGAAGACCATAAAATGGCACCAAGTAAATCCTACTTTAAAAATCACATGAATATTAACGAGTGTAGAATCCACTGATCTTTCTAGGTTCTGCCCTCTGACCTTGGTCCAAATACCAGAAGAATACTGATATATTGCCAAAGGTAAAAAATGCTTATTTCTTTTCTTTTTTAATAAAACCCAAAACTTTAATAAACAACAGTAGTCCACCTGAAACTCCCCAATACTTAAGGTATAAGTTTTGGGTGAGTTACATGCAAAACTCCATTTCAGAAGCCAACAGAGGCTCAGTGAAGACAGCAGGGATGAACTGATTTGCTGATATCCACTAGGTGCTTGAATTGCTGGGCAATCAGGGTGCAGTGAGCAGGCCTGGCTGCCCGTCTGTTTTATACACACACATTCATGTTGGCCTTGCGGCCAACTGTGAGCCCAAACTGGAGGCAGTCACTCCTGGAGAAAAGATGGTCACAGTACAAATGGGTCTTGCCCTGACCAAGCAGACAGTCCAGTGGAGAGAGAGCTGAAGTTAAAGCCCCATGACTTGGCAGCAAAGGAGGCACCCAAAGCAAATTTAGAATTGATTTCTCTTCCATCATTGCTTGCAAACTAAAGTCACGACTCAACAGCCCTGGCTGAGCACCACGCTGGAAAAGCAGAGAACCAGACAGCGGCTGATGCGGGGCCAGGTAGGCGACTCACCTCCACGCCGCCAAACCCGGCTCAGACCACGCAAGTCAGAATCCCAGAGACTTTGGGGCCGCGAATCCAAAGCGCTGGGAGCTGACGCTGCGCCCCCAGCCCTCTGCGCCTTGGTGGCCCGCTTCCGAGCGGCATCAAAGTAGGGCCGCCCGCGTGGGCCCAAGAACCACGTTCCAACAGCCCTGGGTCTCTCCCCAGGGCAGCCTGGCTGTCCCCTCTCACCGTGGATAAGACAACAACTGATTATTCCTGAGAGGCCTGGGTGCTCTTCCTGTCGCCCGCGTTCGCCTTAGGCCCCACAGTAGCGCTGGTCTTCTTGGGCAGCAGTACCGCCTGGATGTTGGGCAGGTCTCCTCCCAGAACGATCGGCACGCCGCCCAGCAGCTTGTTGAACTCCTCGTCATTGCGGACTGCAGGTGTGGATATAATCCGCATCTTCTTACTGTCCAGGGCCGAGTTGCGCGCCAGCTCCAGGATCTCAAGCACCGCCGCCAGGAGCACCCGCGTGCGGGCTCCAATCCGCTCCGCGTAGTGGGCTTTCCGTAGTAGCGGGGGCACCCAGGCCACGGGAAACTGCAGGTCAAAGCGCATAGAGAGACTTGTCCTTGGCGCGGGCTTTGCTGCCCGTCTTGCCGCGCCGTGACATGCTGCGCGAGGTAGTGGATCATTGAGGAACACCTTTAACAGATCAGCGAACAGCTTCTCACCGCAGGCAACTGCTTATTTATTTTCAAAAGCAATTTTCCAAATGAGTCCAGTTTCACACCAGAATCCTAATGTGGTTCTGCGGGCTAATGCACTGGGCTGCAAGGTCGGTTTGAACGGCAAAGTCAGTGGTTCAAGCTGAGGGCCACTGTGAGTCGGAACCGACTCTACAGCACTTAACAATAATATCTCTGCTGGTCCCTGAAACTGACTGTCCACTCTCATACAATAAGGTTGGTGTCTTCAACTGGGCATCCTCATAAATGTGTTCTTAGGGCAGAGATGAAAGGAAACACACCAATAGGAAGGAAGAAACTGAGATGCTGTTCTTTAATACCATGGTTTTTATGGAGTTTTTATCTCTGATGGTAAATTTAGCTGATGGAACTATTTCCGACTCGCCATATTCATCAGTCATCATAAGATTTTCTTAATGACTTTGGAGGCATTTGAGTTGGAAAGCACCTTTGCAAATTAAACCTTTGCAATAGAACTATATCAAGTGTAATACGTCATATTAAGGGTAATATAATAAGCGTGAACTTGTCCCATGAATTCCAGTCTCAAAGAACCATCTTCTCTAATATTTTCTTTAAATTCTTTCCATTGGATGCTAAATCTCTGTGGTACCCCTGAGTATGGTGACTCTGCTACTTCCGTATCAAACTGAAAACCCTGGAATCAATCAATCTCAGCTTTCTGAGACTCAAGGAAGCCCTTTGTGAAGATTTTGCACAGTTTCCAGGGTCCTATCAACACCTACACTCCAAAATTGTTGCCCTTTAGTTATTTATAGAAACAAGGAATTTTCTTAACCCTTGACTTTGGAAGTGCACCCTCCCTTCTACTCTATCTACCTCCTTTTTCTCTTTCCCAATTCACTTCCTTCCATTTGATTGAGAGGGAAAGTGGAAGGAACAAGTCTACTTGGGAGTTAACCAAGGCAAATTTCAAACTCTTTCTCTCCTCTTTTGGGCTGATTTAAAAAAATGTATAAAATATACCAATAAAAATGTAACATTTTTTCATATATTATCTTTACACATTATTCAACTTAATTTTGTTGGAATATAAATGAATATTGTACAACATCAAATTTCAGAAATGAAGGGTATCTATGAAGGAGAGAAAATGCTGCATAGCATCCTACGGTCAAGTCATTTTTGTATACATAATATATATGAACACTTCTTTTTCAAAACCCAATCACCTTCTAGGTTTTTATCTATTTGAGGCCTAATTATGGGAACAAGATTTTAAAACTGTATTCAGTTTCACTGCATCAGATGGCAGCTCAGAATGATGGCACCAAGAAATTAGGAAGTCAAGTTTTTACTTCTTGTTGTCTTTTTATTCATGTGACCTGCAAAGGTCACTTACATATTTCTACTTCCATCACCCTTCTAGGAATAATGCTTTTATTGTTGTCGAGTGTTGTCAAGTTGGTTCCAACCCATAGTGACCCTGTATAAGGTTTTCAAAGAGCAGCCAGTAGGATTGAATCATTGACCTTGCAGTTCAAACTGACTTCTCAGTCCAGAGCATTAACTCATAACACCACACAATGATACCTGCACAAATATTATTCTAAGTGAGGCAAGCCTCTTGCTCTCTTTATAAGTCTTTTGAGAGCTGCTTTGACCTCTTTGTTTCTCAGACTATAGATCAGAGGGTTTAACATGGGGATGATGATGACATAGAACACTGACAACACCTTGTCCTGCTTTATAGAGTCACTAGACTTGGGATGCAAGTACACAGAGAAGGCTGTGCCGTAGTAGAGTGTCACCACTGTCAGGTGAGAGGCACAGGTATTGAAGGCCTTGGCAATACCTTTGCCTGCCGATATTTTCAGTATGGAGGCTGCAATAAAGCAATATGATAAGAGGATAATAAGCAAAGAACCAAACCCAATAAAAATACTTACCAGTAAAACAGTGATTTGGCTGATAAAGGGATTGGAACAAGACAAGGAAACAATCTGAGGAAAATCACAGAAGAAATGTTGAATGATATTTGGCCCACAGTAGTAAAGATGAAAGCAAGAGACTGTTTGAGATAAACTACAAAGGAAACCACCCAAGTATGCCCCAGCAACCATCTTTCCACAGAGACCAGGAGCCATGATGACTGAGTACTGCAGAGGGCTACCAATGGCAACGTACCAGTCATAAGCCATGGCGGACAACAAGCAGCACTCAGTGAAACCCATCCATGCTGCAACAAAATACTGAGTGACGCAGGCATTGAAGGAAATTGTTTTTACAATTTTAAGGAAGTCTGAAATCATCCTGGGACTGATGCAAGAAGAATAGCAGATGTCGATAAATGACAAGAAACTGAGAAAGAAGTACATGGGTGTGTGCAAATGGGAGTCCATTTTGATTAGGAGAATGAGACCCATGTTCCAGATGAAGGTTACTAGGTAGAACCCTAGGAATATTGGAAAGAGGATGAGCTGTAGCTCTTTCTCATCTGAGAGACCAATGAGAACAAACATGGTCACAGAGGAGTGGTTTCCATTCCATTCTGTGGATCTGCTTCCAGCCATCTGTAAAAGGAAAGATAAAAGAAGGAAATGACTTTATTCCCAAAAATAGAATAAAGATTAATATTTTTTTTGTTGTTCAGTCATATATCTGGCTCATTTTACAGTATTAAATTCTTGACATTGAGGTAATACAATCACATTTCAGATAAAATTATCTACCGTAACTGAAAAATCATGTTTGATATACAAGTGTATATTATTATACTTTCCTTGGGGACAAACAGCATTTTTGTTTGTTTTCTAAAAAGTCTAAACTTCTGATTTTACCATGGCATATTCTGCAACTATCTTAGATTTTGGAGATAGGCAAAAATTAAGAAAATGTTGTCATTTCTCCCAATAGATTCCATTTGGTCATTGCTTTGCTATTATTAACTGAATGACTGGAGAATCTTAATTATGTACAATAAGGAGGCTGAAGAAGGTGGTATTTAAAAGTGCTTTGAGAAGCTCCACTAGAGGAAGATAAAAAAAATCAACAGAGGAAAAAAGTGTAAATTGCTATAATTTGATGCACTTGACCTATACTTATGGATGTAGTAGCTCAAAATACCAACTGAAAGGGAAGGAGTCTTCACATCAAAGATTAAATATATCCCCCCTGTACACAGGGTTGATAGGATGGGCAACTTAGACATTGACTACCTAAAGTGGGGAGGGATCAGCTATAAAGGCACAAAGTGACTGACTTACAAGTTTTCAAGAGGGAGTTTAGTTTCAGAGTTTCCGGGGGAAGGCAGAATCCCCCCTGAATAGTATTCCTCTTGTCTAGATGGGTCTGGTGAAAGGCAATGGGGATAAAATTCTCATGATTCAATAGCAAGTAATTGTTATCTTGACTAATTGCGATTGTCAGAACTGTAAAGGTAGCAATTTTGTAGGATAAAGGGGGCAGTGGTTAATCTTACATTCCAGGAACAGAGGACCCTTGGGCCATCAAGGGAGAAGAGCATGAGCGGAATGTGGGACCATATCCAGAGAAGCAGCGACACCAGAGATGCAGGCAAAGATGATGGTATGGAGAGATAGAGCAGTTGAGGACTCATGGAAAGAGAAAGGCTGTGTGCTGGAGGCCAGAAGGCAAGTTTGAAGAATGTGCCCTTTGGTTGTTTAGATGATTGTATATTCCTAAGTGTTTGTGTCTGTGTGTGTGTGTGTATATATGTATATGTATATGTATATGTATATATGT